TGATAGCTAAACCCTATCAGTCGACCTCTTAATAGTGATTAGGCTTCTAATTAAATGTACAAGGACTAAACTGCCCCTACTTAAGTATGGGACAGAGAACCTCTAATAAGACTGCCACATAAGCTCATAACTTAACCAAGGTGAGTTGACTAATCTACCCTTATTCGGCTAACTCTAACAATTTATAATTAATTTGACATTAAACTTAATATTATTAATATATTTATAGAATTTCTGTGCATTTTCCTAGCGTATCCAAGAGTTTCTATATTTTTCGTCCGTATCCATGCGTTTCCTAAGCGTATCCGTATCCGTATCCAAGTTGTCCGATACGATACCCGATACTGATACTTTGATCCTTGGCAAGGGGAAACCACCAAATAACACACTGTGCATTAAATAATCCTTTTTCAGCCTATTGATTTTAGTAAAGATGTCACGAGGATATGGCGAAGAATATGGTTTTCCAGTTGAGTCAAAAAAGATAGCACGATATTATTGGTTTTTTCATAAGATATCTCTTAGATAACATATGAAGTTATTACATATCATAAAGCACATACTGTAATTTCTGTGAAGCACTGCACAAATCATATAATACAAGCATGTATATACACAAACACAACATAAAGGATAAAGAAAGTTCTTCCCCTAATAATCAGGACATGATATACACCTGTTGGCACTGCCTCTTTGCCAGGAACATTCCTAGGCACATCACACTGGATTGATGGTGCCATGATTCAGGCCCAGTGAGATGCCACAGGTGTGTACCTTTCTTGTTCTCAATAAAATAATTATTACCAAGGTAGCAACTTCATGACTCAATGAATATCACCTTTTGCAATAACCCGAAAAATATTGGCTGGAAAGACTGTTCAACCCATCCATCTCCATCTTTAGCTTGATGGAAATCTTTGCAATCCTTTAAAGCAAAATAGGCAACAGAAAATCAGCAAAATGTTTAATCCAGAAGTAATGGAACAACATACATATATCTTCAGTGGGAAAAAGAAACCTGGCACCATCTTGCTCGGGATTTTGACTTGCTGGTATGGATCCAGATGTGAAAATTGCCACACTTCTTGCACGCTATTCTTCTAGAATCTCCATGAAGGTCTTCAGAATCAGCCTCAGAATGTGTGAATCCCGAAGCAAAGAGACCTTGCCTTCCACTCTGGAGACTCAAGCATATTTGAAAGCTCAAGTAAGACAAAAAGATAAGCCTGCAATTTTGCAATCTAAGATACTAATTAAGTCTAAGGAATATGCAAGCATCTTGTACAATTAAGAATAGTATGCTCTCACAATTTATATTCTAATACATAATAATCCCTAATGGTGTACCAAAGATGACAGAAACTAGTCATTCCATAGAAGATGGTAATTCCTGAAAATATTGATAATAATAATAATAACAATAAAAATGACAGAAACTCCTAGGAATTCAATGGGATATTAACTATCAAAAACATCTTGTATATTTTCTTAACTAAATATAACAGTGCATAATTGAATTTTAAGCAGTTAATACACAATTTGCATTGGATTCAGAATAGAAATATGGGATAAAGAGAAAAGCATTTGGGCCAAACTCAACTCTCCTTAATCTGAAGAGGGGAAGAAAATGAAGGCTATTTTTTAGAAAAAGATTGAATATTGTCAAGAAACCGTTCAACCTAAAAGCTTAAGCTGTTAAGTGAGCTCCCTGAATAGGTTTTTATTCTCTAACGCACCCCCTCAGGCCGACCCATACCTTGTGCTGAAATTTAATTAATTATAATGGGGGCACTGAGAATCCAACACTAGAACACCTGGTCAAACAGGCTCTGATACCAATTGGCACTACTAACTCTGTGAAGGCAGAGCTTTTGTCATTGTGGCCTTAGTTTGGCAAAGAAATTGGGATTTAGACAGGTGGAGGTGGAAGGGGACTCAAAAGTAATCATCACATGGACTCTCAAACATATTTTTAAGGAAGTTGAAAGGCTGGTAAAGGACTTGAATGCTGATTTCAAGTGGGTTAGGAGTGCAAATGGGCTGGCTGATGCCCTAGCAAAACAAGGGGCCACACGGCAGCAATTTTATTGGGCATCTTTGTAATTTACTTTGTGTATGTGGGGAATACACTCTTCGAATAAAAGTGTACTAATCCGCTTTTAATCAATTTAATAAAATAACCTTTGCTTATAAAAAAAAAGGCTCTGATACCATGTCAAGGAACCGTTCAACCAAGAAGCTTAAGCTGTTAGGTAAGTTCCCTGAATAGGTATTTGTTCTCTAGCAAGTATGTTAAAAAGAGACAAAAGCTAGAACCCCATGTACATCAAGGACCTGTATAAAGGGAGCATACAGTACCTCGTGATTTACACAAAGGGTTTTCTAACAAGAAAGAATTGTGGCTTCCTTTTAAACAGATCATGCACACCAACCCATGATAAAATTCTAGCTTTTGGTTTGGCTTACAGCACAGGTCCTTGGTGAGAAATCAAATAGTCAACAAAGGAATCTCCTATTTTTTATTGGAAAACTGATCAGAGAATCCTACTGAACAGTTAAGAAAGTTAAGAGTACATGAAAAGCAGTGCCTAGTACTCCCTTGAAAAAGTTTGAGGCCCAACCCAAAAAAGTGCCCACTACATCAAGAAATTGCTGCCTAAACCTGGCTAAAAAGAAACCCAATAAAATGCATRTTATTGGCACCTTGTTTCACTAAAAAAGCAGCCAAGTGTGCTGCTATATGCTATCTGGATACATCCAAATGAAGTGTTCAGACTATTCTTCATAGATCTGGCCTCCCTGATGAGATGTCTAAAGTGCAAACAACTTGCAGATCAGCCTGCATCCATCCAATTATTACAYATGAATCTCCTTACATCTCTATAAGTATTATAATCTAGAAAGCAGTAGAATTACAGTTCCTGAAGTTGGAATAAGAGTTTTATTCCATCACCTACCAGGTAAGTGAAAGTCATCAATAATTTTCAATAATTAATCAAATTTTTTTAAAAAGGAAAAAGTACATATCAAGTGATAAGAAATCACCAAGATTACAAAAGCAAACAAACCCAACTCCAAACCCTAAATGCATCAATGCATCTCCTAGATAATTACTAAATGCTCCACAAACACCTGACTGGCTAGAATTGCCAATATTACAGCCATTAAAACTCAATTTATTGAGGAGCTAATTGTCATCTTCTAGAAAATATTGCCACATATTACCAGCCTCTAATAATGGCATCAGTCAAAATGATCCAAACTCATGAAATTGTGCCTTCCATTTTCCATTTAAATATAAGTTGCAAGCAAGCAATTGACTGAATTTTCCACTTGAACAGATACAAGAAAAATTACCGTTTGAGAAGCACTTTGAAACCTACGAATACAATTCATTATCTCCTCTCTCCTTAGTTCATCATCATATGCTTTTCGTTTCAAAGAATCAAGTAAAACCTGGTTGCAAATAAATTCAACATATGAACTCAAAGAGATATAATCAGACCAAGAAAAAGCATAGCCTTTGGAACAGTGTACAAACAAAGATGTACCTCATATGCATTTTGAAGTTTTTTGAAGGCTTCCGCAGCCTTCTCATTGCCCATGTTTTTATCAGGGTGAACCAACATGGCCTGTCAAAATATCATAGAATATCAATTAATCAAACAGAAAATCTTAGTATTATCCTGAGAATCCTAATGTAGAAGGAATGCTATGCACTTTGTTTAGAAAACAAAAAACTAATGTTTATTTATTTCATCAGCAACACAGAAATGATTCATTAAATTAAAAGAACAAGTACAACAAGAAGTTGTGGGTAGACGAAAAGCCCACATAAAACCCACTAATTACAACACAGTCCCAACCATAACCCAAAAAACAATTCCACTAGTTACAACAATCCCCAAAAATAGCCCAAAGGAGATCCACTAACTAAAACATAGCCCAGAACGTATATTGCCTTTGAACTCCTTGCTTAGCTAGAGCATCAGCCATGCTGTTAGCTGATCTCCTAATCCATCTTATTTGAATTAACATGTCTTTAGAAGCCTGCTTAAAGCGCCTGATCTCATTCCTTAGCCTCCAGATTGCTCCTTCCCCTTTCTTCAGCCAGTTGACAACAATTTTTGAGTCCCCTTCAATAATGAATCTGTTAATCCCTAACTCTTTAACTTTCTCTACACCATATACTGCTGCCTTCAGTTCTGAACTCACCACATCACCATGCTGAATAGGACCCGAGAACACGGCTATCATATTTCCATTCTCTTCCCTTATTACCCCACCAATACCCAATGGGCCAGGATTTCCCAAACTACTACCATCAGTTTAGTTTCTTCCACCCAACATCTGCAGGGAGGGGGGTTCATTCATTTACTATAGGTCTTCTAGATGTAGTGTTTGCAATTGTTCCCCATGATCTGAAGAAGTCTTCTGTCTTAAAATCAGAAAACAATTTTAAAGTTTTCACCCAATGTGCCACCCTTATAGTTATCACTTCAATCACAACTTCTCTGCTCCTTCCCTTATCATCAAATATCCTCAGATTTCTTTCTTCCCATATTGTCCAAGCCACTGCTGCTCTAGTGCATCTTTCCAATAATTGCTAATCTTTTTCTAATTTTAGAAAGGACCATTTTTAGAAAGAATTAAATGGTCCTGAAACACCAAACTCTACCATTTCTTAAGACTGCTAATTCTAATTTTCTCAATCAGGTAAAGGTTTTTTGCATATGTAAAACATGACATCATAATTGATCCAGTCTGTATCCCACACATTGGATGATTGTGTATCTCCACCACTTTATGGTATTAACAAGTTTTTTTTTTCATATATTATAAAATAACACCCACATGGCAACTAGCAAGTTACTTGGGAATTGGCCCCCAGTCAAACTCATGCAAGCATGTTTGTTTGAACAAAAATTAGCGGTGATGACTGAGATTTGCAACCATATATGAGTTACAATCATTATACATATGGTTTTTTCAAAAGTGAAACCTTGTGCAAAAAGGCCCACTTTTTTATCAGTAAATACGAACAGTTTTATTGATGAGATAAAAACGTACAGTAACAATATACAATAAGATATTATACATTATCCAAAATTAAGCTTTTATGGAGATAGCTCCTTGCTGCTCCCCCATATATCCAGGTCGCCTAATTAAGTTACAATATTAGTCTAATGGATATCCTCCCTTCTTGGTCTCTGTTTATTCTATTAACACCTTCCCAGGCTAACAAGTCCAGAAGGGAGTTGGCAAACCTTGAAATCCATAAGAACTCAGCCTGCAATCATCTAGCCCGGAGTCTTGCTAGATGTGATGTCTGAAGCTCCATGGTCCAGCCATCTCATCTCTCATCCATCCTATAACAGTTCTGGAAACCCCTTAATCAGATTGCTGAACCTTGATGAAAGTGCTATTCTCATACCATGAAGAACAGCATATAGTTATCCTTATACTAAGTTGCCAACACCTAATGATCCTGGAAAAAGCCATAATAATGATTCCCCATACACCTGAACCCCCCCCCCTATTCCCCCAGTTAAAATACCCTCTTCTGAGTTGCATGGTTCAAAAAGCTAAAAGCAAATGGGCTACAAAACACCATCAAATGTGTTGCATGGTTCAAAAATGTCAGCTTCACTTTGACAGAAATGGAGCATAGTTTTTCTCAACCATACCACAGGGTTCATAACCACCATAATTTTCAAGGCGCCAAGGTAAGTAAAGCACTAGATCTTAGGGTAGTTCCCTAGATTCCATAACCATCTTTCCTTAATAATTATTCATAATTTTCTTAAGTATAAAATTCATGTTTAAGTCTAGAAAATCAACATTTTATGAGAAGAAAAAGAGCAAAGTAAAGAAAATTCAAAAAATATAGGGGCTGAACCCCTACTTTTGTTATAGGAAAGAAGAAAAGAAAAGGTGGAAGAAGAAGAAGAAGAAGAAGACGTGGAAGAAGAAAATGTGTTGATTAGACAAAATTTTTAAGTTCTTCCCTTGCTTATAGGTTCAGGTTTTGAAATTTTTGAGGGTTCAATCAAGGATCAAAATTTCGATACGATACACCCCGTATCGGGTGTATTGTATTGTATCTTTGGGGTCCTGATACCTGTTTATAGGTGTTTTCGGGGACCCATTTTTTTAAATAATATATATATATATATATATTTAAAAGAGAAAATGAAAACCAAAGAAATAAAAAAAAAAATAGGGGGAGTGTCGTTATAAGTACCGATACACCTCTGCCAATACACAGAGGTGTATCGATACTGTGAACCATGGGTTCAATACAGCAGTTAGCAATGTTTGCATTGATTAAACCCTAACAGAATAAGAAAAAAATAAAAAGAAATTAGTATATAAACACTATTCTATTTTAATAATGTCTATTTTATAATTATAATGTCAAGAATTAAAAATCTAAAAGTATTTTATAACCCAGTGCACAAAACTGCTAGGCGACTGGGCAAGGTGAGCCTCCAAGGGCGCCTTGTCGCCTAGGCGCCCGCCTAGGCGTCACCTTGATAACTATGATAACCACCAACTGCACACAACCTAAATTGTTATAAAAAGTAAACAAACAAACACAAAGACACACAACGCAATTGACACTTGTGTAATATGACAGTTTAACACTTAAAATATGTAAAAGTTAGAAGCTTAATTAAATTTTGCAAGAAACTTAGCTTCAAAAAAAAACAATAAGGGGTGGGTGATTCACTAAGAGCTGAAGCAATTGGCCCTACACCAAGGTTTGAGATTGGATAAACAGATAGGTTTACAACAAGTTGAGGTGGAGGGAAACTCCAAGCTGTTAATATGTTGGAAGCAACCAAACAGCTTGGGAATCTGGACCCTTAGGCAGGTTGTAAAAGAAATCAGGTGCCTAGCAAGAGAGAATGGGGTACTTTTTTAAGTGGACTAGAAGATCAGCAAATGGACTGGCCAATACTCTAACAAAGCAAAGGATTACCAGGGAGGAACTGTTTTGGGCTTTGATGTAATTCTGAGATACTTTGAGGGATCAGCACCCTATCTTTGGGAGGTTGGTATGTGTACTTAATTACTAATTGAATGAAAGTTACCGTTTCCAAAAAGAAAAAAAATAATAATTAGCTTCAAAAAACCAGATGTAAAAGCATGATAACAAGCATATGACTGGTACCTGTACCTTTATCTGTATCCAGGATCTTAGGAAATGGAGTCATGTTCCACATTCCCAAATCCATGTCCATGTCAATATCTGTATCTGGGCATATATTAGGTAAATATATGAAATAAGTTCTATGATTATCTCTAGCTTTTCAGGTTTTCTAAAGGCACCATATCACACACTAGTAGTTCAGATTCTTTTTTACTTAGGTCTAAGCCATTTTGGGTCAGTTCATTTCTTAGAGAACTACTATCCAGTTTTTATTTCTATTCTTTATACGAACAATAGAAGATAAAGCAATTCCACATTTGGTTTAAATTATGGTTTACTATAATGATGAGCTCTTATGAGGAGGAAAAACATGTACCTTTCTCCTGTATTCCCTCTTAAGTAAAGAAACATCTACATTCTCATAACGGGAAAAACCCAATGCACAATAGTGGTCAGTACAGTTTAATAACCGAACAACTTCATCTTCAGACGTTAACTCTGCATCAGCCCCACTGGTTGAAGGTAGTCCTGCACTACGATCTGATGATCTTCCAAAAGCAGCTTCAGAAGGTGAAGTACGACTTGGTTCACCATAAAAAGAATCCGATCGGTTCTGAGTTCCAGCATCTTGTTCTGGCCTATTCGATCTAGTATGCTCATGCATAGTATTCTTTAGGAAGTATGCCAGAATATCACTTGAGATGAAAGACAAATTCAGCACCAATAGCAAACCAAACCATCCAACATATATTTTTACACAATATATGGAATATACAGTGGTGATTAAAAGTGCAAGGCGTTCATGGCTCAATGCAAATGCCATCCCTGCATTTTAGAAGACCTACAACCTTAGCTGGTTTTGGCCAAAATTTATGCACATAAACAAAGAGAATATACAACTCAATATCACAAGAAAATTGAATGATCACCTCCAACAAGGATGATGCTCCCTGTGATCCAAAAGCTTCCATAAAACCACAGCAACAAAGCTGCAGAGATGATCAGTAATAAAACTGCAAGTGTGAATCCAACATAAACTGCAACTAGAGCAGCTATGGCCTGAGTCATCAAAGAATTTAAAAGATTTTAAGTAAACAATTCTTTTCTAGGAAGGGGCATCAATAGCAAATAAAAATCAAGGAATCTACAATAGGATATGGCCTGAATCATCAAAAAATTTAAAAGATTTTAAGTAAACAATTCTTTTCTAGGAGGGGGAATCAAAGGCAAATGATAATCAATGAATCCACAATAGGATATTCAAGATTGTTGGGACATAGTCAAAGAAGATTTATTTGAGGTCTTCAAGGAATTTGAGAATAATCAAGTGATGAGTCGGGGAATTAATGTTACTTTTCTAGCCTTAATTCCGAAAAAGAAAGAAGCTAAGCATCCAAAGGACTTTAGACCTATCAGTTTGGTGACTAGTGTTTACAAGATTGTGGCAAAAGTCTTATCTTTGAGGATCAAACAGGTGCTTCCTTGTCTTATTAGCCGAGTGCAAGGAGCTTTTGTTCAGGGGAGGCAAATTGTAGATCAGATTCTAATAGCAAATGGATGTGTGGAGGAGATGAGGAGATCGGAGCGTAAAGGTTATGTTTGTAAACTTGACCTTGAAAAGGCCTATGACTTAGTGGACTAGGGATTCTTATCACTCGTGCTAAGGAAGTGTGGGTTTGGGGATAAGTGGTGCAAATGGATAAATGGTTGCCTCTCTAGTTGCCATTATTCCATCCTAGTCAACGGGGTAGTTACTAATTTTTTCCCAGCTAGTAGGGGTCTGAGACAAGGTGATCCCATGTCACCTTTCCTTTTCACTTTAGTCGCCAATGCTTTTAGTAGACTCCTTTCAAAAGCGGATAGAGCCGGATCTCTAAGAGGGTGGGGAATAGGTAGAGACAGAGTGTCAGTAACCCATCTCCAATTTGCAGATGACATAATAATCTTATGCAAAGGTTGTGATTTGGCAGAGGTAAGGAATCTGAAGGACTTAATAATTCACTTTGAGAGGGCCTCGAATTTGAAGGTAAATTTTGAGAAGAGTTGTGTTGTGGGGGCTAATTTGAACAGAGAGGAGGTGGAGTCTATAGCAGCCTTGTTAGATTGCACTTGCTCTCAGTGGCCTCTATCCTACCTAGGACTTCCTCTAGGTGCAAACCCAAAGGAAAGTAGGTTCTAGAATCCGATGGTTGAAAATTTTGAAAAAAGATTGGTAACTTGGAAGAGGAACTACATCTCCATGGGTGGTAGAGTTACTTTGATTAAAGCAACTTTGGCCAACTTTCCTTTATACTTCCTGTCAGTCTTTAGAATTCCTAAAAGGGAGGCAAAAAGGATGGAAAATTTGATGAGGGACTTCCAATGAGAACCTGGTGAAGAGAAAAAAGATCACTTGATTAGGTGGGAGGTAGTGAGTCGGAGCAAAAAAAGAGGACTAGGCTTAGGGAATGTGGTGAGTAAGAATGAGGCTCTTTTAGGTAAGTGGCTTTGGAGGTGGCCCCTGGAGAGGGAGAGGTTGTGGCATGAAGTTGTGAAAAGTATCCATGGCTATTCTAAATCAGGTTGGGATGCGGGGGTATCTCGAAGGGCTTTCCTCACAACACCTTGGAAGGCTATCTCTGGCATTCTCCCTAAATTCCTCAGGTTTGTAAGGTATGATGCTTGTTCTGAAAACTCGGTGAGCACTCAACCCCTAAAAGACCGCTTCCCTTCTCTCTATTCCATCTCCCTCTTTTAAAAGAAACCCATTTCTTCAGAGCTGTTGTTGCTTCTAGAATCGGTGTGTCTGGACCCCACCAACCCGGACAAAAGAGTCTGGGCTCTAAACCCGGTTGGCTCTTTCACTTGCACATCTTTCTTTAAAGCCCTTTGCTCTAACCCTTCCTCTCAAATCTTCCCTGTTAAAGAGGTTTGGTCAAGGCCAATACCCCCCAAAGTAACAGTGTTCTGTTGGGAAGCCTATTATGGTAAGATCAATACTGTGGAAAACTTGCAAAAGAAGAAACCTTTTTTTGTGTCTGTCCCCAAATTGGTGCTTTATGTGTAAAGTGAAGGGTGAGGACTGTAACCATTTGTTTCTTTATTTGGGTGCAAGTGGAACTTGCCCTCTGAAGTAAAGTTGTTGTTCACTCCAGATGCTCTTGGGAGATTGACAAAAAAGGGGAAGATAATGTGGAAATGTATCAGAGTCGCCACCTTGTGGATCTTATGGGAGGAGAGAAATGCTAGAATATTTCAAGAAAAGGAAAGAAGTCTTGCTGAAGTCAAGGAATGTATATTGACAAAGACAATTTCATGGCTGAAATCTTCACAATTGTTGGCAGATTTCTCCTTTGACGACTTAAAGAGAAATTGGGAAGCAATGGCTTCTACAGTCTCCACCAAGAACAAATTACAAGTTGAACGGAAACCCCCACCGAATGGAGTGGTAAAATTGAACTTTGATGGTAGCTGCCAAGGTAACCCAGGGCCATCCGGAATTGGAGGGATTCTGAGAGACAAAGACAGCAMTATGTTGTCTCTTTTCTCAGGACCAGTGGGTGAAGGTGATTCTGTAAGGGCAGAGCTACTAGCAGCGGTACAAGGTATACAGATGGCTAGTCAATTAGGAGTGAGCAATTTGTTAGTAGGAGACTCCAAGGTAGTAGTGGGCTGGCTGAATAGCCCAGACACAGTTTGTTGGGGGTTACAGGGATTTGGTAAAGAAAGTTAAATGGATGACAAGAAATATGACTGTCAGGTTCCAGTGGGTTAGCAGATCAGCAAATGTAATGGCTGATTCTCTGGCCAAGCAAATGTCAAAGGGTGATCTGTTTTGGGCTAATTTGTAATTCGTTTCTCAGGTTTGGGCATGTTTTAGTGCTTATGATTCAGTCCTTGGGAGAGGTAACATCTCGTGCCTCTTCCTAGGCTGCATGTATTTCTGATACTCTTTCAATAAAACTACTCTCATTTATCAAAAAAAAAAAACAGGGGAAAAGATAACAAAAACATAGGTCCATGAAAACAGTAGTTTTCTCACAACCAAATTTGGGGGCCTCTAGTCCAATCCAAGATAGCCCTTTTTCCTGTGAACAGCAATCCTCAACAGATACTTTAACCATGGACCAGCCACTGAAGTATGGAGCATAGTTGCCAGGCCCACTTGTGCATTGTGGACCATGGTCAAAGAATCAACAAATCATCTATTTCTACATTGCAACTTCAGTCATATATTTGAGCCCACTTTTTACACCATTTTCATATCAGTTGGTGCTTCCCTAGATTTTTCCTTGAGGTCCTCAGTTGTTGGCAGGTTGAGTGCCTAGCTTGGCAAAGAATCCCTTTCGTACTCTGCTAGCTAATTTGGGAAGAAAAAAATCAGTGGTCTTTCAGAGCCGACCTTCTTATCAGGAGGTGTATTAAGAAGAGTCATAGGGCAGCTCACTCTTGGTTAGCTATGAGAAAAGAATTCAAGAAAGCTCCTGATAGCTCATTTTTGGATTTTGAATTTCTGGATGGATAAAATATAGTGCAGAAAGCTGCATTTTTGCTTTGAGGTTTTCTTTGTACATTCTCTTGATGTAAATGAGCCATTGTGCTCCCATATAACCACTTGAAAAGCATCCACCCAAAGAAAATAAAGATAACAACAAATAACAGAACACTCTTAACACATAGAGAAGAAAGAGAAATATGAATCATATAAACTCATGAGAGAACCGGAACTCACCATGACCACAAGAAACTTAAAGAATCCAATCATTGCAATAACTGATACAATGCTGCACCAAATAACTGTAAAGAAGGATGTTGTTCCCAAACGTAGAAATGAGTCAAGACCCCTCAGACTACAGTCCAACCATATCATGGATATGAGTAAAAATAACTTCCCAAACTGAACAAGCCACTTCCAAATAACAGGGTACACTTGCTTAGTCTTAAACCAAACATAGTCACGGGCATCAAATAGCATAGTTGTTAGAAAATTAAACAAAGGTTTCTGCCTTTCTAGCCATCCACGAATCACCTTCAGGGCAGACAAAGCAGATGCCCCAAAACTTCTACCAACCGCAGTATCTGAGGACTTTGAATCTTTCATCATATCTTCAGCAGGCAAACCGTTCTCTAAGCCAAGATTAACTTTTTGGTTTTTTAAACCATGGTTACCGCCTAATAGTGCACCAGTTTCTCCTTTTGACCTGGGCACATCCAATACAGATGCATCCCCTACAGGGTTTCTTGAGTTACTGGATGTAGAGAGTGATTGAGCCAGGCCAGGCATTCCATCCACCACTGGCTTCCCTTTGCTTGGGAGATTTCCAGATTTTTGGTTGTCTTTTCTCTCATTTACTGCATATGTTGGATTAAGTACTCCCTGTTCCAAATGACTATCTGTTGGGAGTTCCTCAACAATTTTTCCCTCACTAGCTTTTACCCTAACCTTTTTTACTGGTGAAGGTCCACCTGCTGACTCAGAAACCCTAATTTTGTAGTTTGATGGGTTGCGAGCCACACCATTCCTTTGTTGATTTCCCTTCCGAGCCATTATCAAGACTTGTAATGTATGCTATGAAACAGAATCAAGCTCAATTGAGTATTGATCCATCAAGTATACCATGCACTGCAAACTAGATTCCATTGAAAGGGTCCACACCTGTTAGCCAACACATGTCATATGAATAATAAACACATCAAAAGAGAAGAGATAATACATAGACACACACACACACCCCTTTATGACTACAAAATGAGAAAAGGGCACAATGAGTATTCCAATCAGGTAAGGATTTTGACTAGGTAGGACTCTTTTATCAGTAACAAGATCAAATACATTTCTTAGAAAAGATGGGGCAAGATAGCATGGAACTCTATCCCTTGGAAAAGGGAGACAATGGCTACATAGCTGAGACACAACAGTACGAATCTTACTAATATAATAAAATATGTTTACAATCAAAAGGGCAACTTATCCCTGACTACTAAATTGTAAGAAAATCTTTTAAATTAAAATCCCAGCTTTTCATATCAATGGTCTTACCAGCCCCACTAGTGCAAACATACACCTCTATGCTCTTTGTAGGCTATTGATACAAATCTTATCTCTGGCACTTTCCATGCACGTCCATAAACAATGGTATAAAACAGTTCAGCTGCCTTGCTAAGTAAATAAATATTCCTAGCTTATAATGTAGATGCAAACCAAATGAACAAGTAACAAAAGGGTCTTCTGACCTCAAAATCATGTATAACCAACTTATCAAAACAAAAAACTAAAAGTCTAAGTGTAATTAAAATATCAATAACAAAGGTCAAACATTAAAACCATGTAGGTGATAATAATATATTAAATTAGACACTGTGATTAAGCTCAATGAGTTTAAAGGTCTTAATCTTCTTGCTGTGTGCCAAACATTTACAAGGAAAAGGGTTGACTAGTTATGTCATCAGGGTCCCAAAGTGTGAATATCAAGATTAGTAAAGTAATAAGAGAGTAGTAGGTGGTCTCCCATCACTTTTGAATGTAACAGTGATACATTAGCCTTGAAACATCTAATGTTCTCCTAACCAAATAAGAAAAAACTAGTTGAACCATTTAAATCCAGATTTGAATATACAAATTACTCTCGCTGTTGCAGTAAAGAGAAATCACCTATTGTGGACTTGTGCCAAGTTCACAGTCATTGATCCAAGTGGAATAATGATTGTCTCCAATGATTGTACATTAAAATTGTCTCCAATTTTGTTCATATTCGGTTACAGAAGAGTTGAATTGGAAATTGGGCGTATTAACATACCAAGCTTCACTTAGACAAGCCCCTTTCCCACTCTAGTGAAAGACCATATTCAACTATAAATAAACTGATCTTCCGTTAAGTCATGCTTTAAGTATAATATCTTTTGTTGTATTAATTTGCATACCTAACTGGTCATCCATCTGAATTTGCAAATTAAAACCCTCATAAAACTCAATTAAGATAAAGTGTGGTATATTTTCAAGGTGGACAGCAACCTTAGTTTTTATAATCTGATCTAATTCGAATTTCAAAAAGGAAAACTCACCATCAAAGATTTCATTCTTCATGATGGCCAACCATCAAACATGCCAATATGGTCTTGTAGGTATCTAAAGGCACGGCTTAAAAAAAGCTCTTAATTTACATCAAGAAGGTTGTTTTATGTCAACAATTCAAATTAAACCTAATTCCTTTAAATATGCTGTAACAGCATAAATCCTTTACAACATTATAAACGAAAACGCTTTCTATATGCAAAGGTTCTAATTGCGTAGGAAGTGTAAAGGGAGCCATACGGCTCAAAAGGTGCTACGTGCACAGGGAAGGTGACCCGCAGAAAGAGCTAAGTAAACAATTGAACAAACAAATCCAGTAGAGAAAGAATCAGGAGCCAATGAACGAAAGCAAAACTAATTTAAAGGGAACGCAGGAGCATTAGCATTCTGCATTTCCCAACGAAGATTTCAAAGTAAAAGATCCACAAAAATCATTCAATGTGTTAAAGAAAAGAAAACCACGCCCATTAGTGGTGTATTTACCATAATCAACAGTTACCAAACAATGTTAGAAAACAAACATGAAACTCTGATAAAACAAACCCCCAAATTTCAAGGCTCTAATAGAAGCCCAATTGAGGGAAAACAGGAACTAGAATACCCAAATGATGGAACGGTATTAATGAGGCTAAAGCACGATCAAAAATGAAAACAGCGAAAAGAATGGAGCCTATCAGCCTAGCACTAGATCATAAAACCTTGCAGAAATGAAGATTGGACATTCGAAGACAGATATTAATATGAGGAATACCTTGAATTGAGCTGCATGGAAACCATCGCGAAAAGTCGAAAACCGGAAGCACCAAAGGGAAAGATGGAGAGAGAGAGAGAGAGAGAGACAGACAGACAGACAAACAGAGACGAAAAGGCAAAAGTTGGAGGGAGAAGAAAAGGGAGTGGGAGAAAACACTGAAACAGGGTTTGGTTCTTCTGGGTGAGCGAAGGGAGTTTGGGAGCTCTCTAATGCTGAAATGATATAAACGGCGGCCCTGCCAAGTTTCTTCACTCTTTTCAGAGGATATACACTTTTATTATTATTATTTTATTTTTATTAACTCTGTTAATTTTCAATGATTTTTATTTGTTGCGGAGAGATTGCGTTTCCACTCGTGTCTCAGCCATCCATAGTACGCAAAGAAGGACACGTGTCAAATGAAGGGTCGAGAGACGCATAAGAGAGTGGGACCCTGTTAAAGAGGAGTTTTTACTTGTCCCAACAAATTCCATGTGCGAGAACAAAAAACAAATTCCATGTGACAGAGATAGACTGTTATGACCATCTGATTTCTTAAAAAGTAACAAGATCCAATGGTTAAGAATCATCTATGGCCATGGAATGGCTGTATTTTGGCACCGGGATAAGGGAGATGTTACCAATGCATGTGTAAATGTTGTTGGTACCCAATGTTAGTTTTATTCAAGGGTTACAGGATTGAAAGTCATTACAAAAAGAAAAATAATTTGTTAATAAAAAATAAACTGTCCTTTTAAATAAAAGAAAAATAAATGTTTTTCATTAAAATAAAAAATTTAAAATTTTTAAAAAATATAACATAACACCAGGCCCTATGGGTCCCACATAACCCCTCTCTCTAACACAAGGTCCTAAATAACCCTCTCTCTCTCTCCATTTTGATCCACATGTTGTCCAATCAAAACAAAGATAGTCTTAGTTGAATAATAATAATAATACTATATAACTAATAATAATGCTCCACTCTAGTCATAAAATACATAGGACCTACAACCTAAAATTAAATAAATAGAGTAATTAATTTTATGTGATTGAATTATGTTAAATTGATTTAGATAATTGAATAATGCCAAGTAAATTAAATTTATTTAATGCATTTTTTAAATATTTTGTTAATTAATTTTATATTTAATAATTATATTTTTTAAAATGATTTTAAATAATTAAATAAATAAATTTAGTCTAAGTAATTATATTAATTATATTAAAAACTTAATTATATGAAGTGGTTGTTAGGACGGATCAATTATACTGTGTCTTTCAACTATTTGAAAGCTCATCTACTCAATAGCTTCGACAAAAACAATTCTTCTTAGGCTTGTATAGTCTATACTATATAAAACATAAGGAAGAAGAAATTTGACACGAATTTCTATAAAACTATCCTTTTAGGTAAGGTAATGATTCATATAGAACCCATCTCATATGTTAATATCCTAAGTGGGTTTTCTGAAAAATATTGTGTAAGAGCAACTTGTCATTATATCTCACTAGTTTTTATTTGTCATTTTAAATCACTCATTCACTCTTTCTCTCTATTACATTATGACATTGAGTCCTACATAACCCCTTTCTTTTTCTCTAATGACATTGGGCCCCATTGGGTCCCACACAACCCTCTCTCTCTTTAACATTGGGCTTCTTTAGGGTTCACACAATCCCTATATATCGCTAACATATAAAGGGCCCCATCATGTTCCACACAATGCCTCCCTCTCTCTAATAATGGGTTCCACATAACCTTCTCTCATACACACCCCCTAACACAGGGCCCCATTAGGTCTCACACAACTTCTCTCTCTAACTTCGGACCATATTAGGTTCTACACAACCCCACCTTTGGCTTGAAAACAAAGACTGCAACTTTCTCGAAAAGACCACTTGGCTAGAACCCAACTTGGATAGACTAGACATCTACCAGTGCCACCAAGGCTCAAGAATTGGGCAATAATTGAGAACAACTAAGGACTCTAATAATCGAAGGGACGAAGGGTTATAGTCATAGAGTAGTATAATAATAGAGATTCAAACTGAGGGTAGGCAATATGCTATGCATGAAAACAACAAAACAATATAATTTGATTAAAGAAATAGCATACTAGTATTAGGGTTGTTCACGGGTCGGGTTGGGTCGGTTTCGATTCTAAGTTCATCCCTGTGATAAAATCTTGCTAATTTTAAAAACAGTCATAAATTGAACATCATTTCAGCAATCTCCTATGATAAAATTTAAATGAAAAGTTAATCACAAAAGTTGTTCATTAATCACTATTCACTAATCCAAAGTTTCTTGCAACCATTCAAAAACTAAGTGGCCTAATGGGCTTTGGAACTTCATGTTTGAACTAGGAACTAAGTCGGTTCAATTCGGGTCGGTTTCGGTTTTCTTGTGCGAAAACCGAAACCGACCCGAATCATCGGTTTAAGAATTTGCACAACCCAAGACCGATCCGTGCTGATGAAAACCCAGTCAACTCGGGTTGGTCGATTTGGTCGGGCTGGGCCTTCTTCTGAACAGCCCTAACTAGTATCACAAGAAAAAGAAGTTTACAAAAACCTTTAACTTACAAAGTGAAAAGCACATCGAAAGCACACTGGAATCACAACTTAACAATTACATTCATCAAACCTCTCAAGAACTTTCACTCGTATGAAATACACTAAGAAAATGCTAACAAAACACTCAGAAGAACACAAGAAGACTACTCATAAGGAAAACACTATTAGAACACAATTCTTTGTTATGCTTTGGAATGAGAAGGCAATCTTTATTTGTAGACTAGAGAGCAACTTCGAGAAATCTCTTTCAGATTTGGTTTTATCTTAAGAGCATCTATAATTGAGATGCTTGCCTCTTTTGTCTTTTTCAGACAGGGTGAGGAGCTGAAGATGTTTCTTTATCTCTTTACTGTGGGAAGATGTTTCTTTATCTCTTTACTGTGGGAAGATGTTTATTTATCTTCGACTTTTGAGGTGGCAAATCTTATTGCTGAAGATAAGGGCGAACCTTTTTTTTAAAGTGGACAAATGTCTATCAATAGTGAGATTCCTCTATAATAGAGGCCTTAATGAGGGCTAAGGGATAGAACTTATATTTTCTTCATATATTCATACCAAGAAATGCTAAGAATTCTTTTTGAGACATGAAAGGATTTTTACCCTTTGCTTTATTCTTCTCACTGTTTGAGTGAACTAATCATTCTACTATGGATGACTTTTCTTTAGTCTCCTTTGAAGCAATTGTCGGTCCCTAGCTAGGTCTTTGTAGTAGTCTGCTACATAGTTAAGACTACCTAAAAATCTTTGGAATTGGATTTTATCCTTATTTTCATCAGGAAATTTGTTTGCAAATTCTATCACTCTTTGAATAAGGGTTGTTTTCCCTTTAGATATTCGATATCTCAAAAAACTTACTTATATTTGAAACAATTTCATCTTATGCAGTTAAGCCATTTTCTCTCATGATTTATAGAAATATATTAAAATGTTTTTAATGGAATTTCAAAGATGGAGAGTATACTAATACATCATCTATATAGACTATAATGAATTGAGTATAAGGAATAAAAATCTCATTCATAATTCTTTAGAATTCATATGGAGCATTTTTTAATCCGAAAGGCATAACATTCCATTCATAGTGCCCAAAAGGAACTATAAAAGTTATTTTGTATATATCTTTTTCATTTATTTGGATTTGCCAATAACCTGATTTTAGGTTGAATTTAGAAAATATATCTACGTCATATAACATGTTTATTAGGTCTTGCTTATTAGGGATGAGATATCTAATCCATCTCAAGGCTTTGTTGAATGGTTTGTAATTAATCTCTAGCCTTGGTAACCTTCTTTCTATCTCTGCTACGTTTTCCACATAGAATGTTGGGAAGCTCCAAGGGGACTTACTTGGTCTAATTAAACCTTTTACTAATAATTCTTGATTTTTTTTGCAAATCTTTAATAATCTACTATTTATCTAAATTGGTATGACTTTAGTGGAAAATTTTGTTTCACTAAACTCTTCCTCGTAAGGAAGGCTTACCACATTCCTTTTTCCTATGCCATAATGCACTGGTAATTTCAATATGTATTTCTTTTTCCATTTTTTTTGGAACCTTGCTACTTCCAAGGATTTAACCAATTTTTTTCTTTTATTTCTGACTGCAACTCATAAATAAATTTGACCTTATTTTTCATATCTTCCTTTAAAGTATTTATAGTTGTTTTTGACTTTTGGCAATAATTGTAGGTGATGGCTATTTCACCTATAGTGGTAGTAATTCATGTAGAATCTATTTGGCAGGGAAAAATTGATAATAGGAAGGGTGTTCCTAATATGATATCCTACCTAAGGTTTCTAACCATAAGAAACGTGGTTTTTAAGTAGGTTCCTTGGTTACAAATATGGGCAACAGGGATTTTGTATTAAATTCCCAACTTCCTTCCATTAACAACATTTAACTGTTGGGAAGTTTTTTCAAAGTATCTAGAAGGCACAATTCCTTCCCTGATATAGTTTATATTTGCACTTGAATCAATTAAGGTTACAACTGAGAAACTAAAATCTTTAATCTTAATGGTTATTTTTGAGTACCATTTTTGGTATTTTACCTCTTTATTTGAATATACAAGTTCTTCATCCTCTCCCACAAATCCAATGGGTTCTACACTTCTTATTTTTGAAGATATGGTAGATCCTTCATGTTGTATGAAATCTTTATAAGATTCTAATATCTCAATTCTTCCATATAGGGATTAACTTCGATTTTAAGATTGCTAAACTCTTGCTTTCAGGGATTAACTTCGATTGAGTAGGTCTCCTGGTCAAGTACAGAAAGTGATTATCAGAGTGTCCAAGTAGGTTGACCTAAGGTGGGCACTCTGACGCTTAAGTTTGCAAACTAGTGATTGTTTGCAACAAAGCAAGAGAGTTAGAGAGTTGTGAGAGTTGAATTGCACGTACCTTATGAGGTTAGAGGTGAGACCTTTATATAAGCAAGCTTTCGTGATCCTCACGAAATGTGTCCGGGATCTCTAGCCCATCTGGTTCAGAGGTGGTTTTACGCCTAGAGGTGGACTCTATGTAAGCGGGTAACATTTATCCAATCCTACCCGAAGCGGGCGGGGTGATAACTGGCTCTTCCGATGTGGCGTCATGATCCCGAGGAATTCGGAGGCGATAACTCGCTTAAGGGGGAGATCATTCGACATGTTAGGCAGGTCGTTAAGTAGAGTCGGGTT